TATAAGAAATAGCAAATATGTAACATGTAAGAGCAAAGGAAGGGTGGGTGGTGGATAAAGTCTGAACCTGACCTTGAAGGATGAGTAAGAGGGTGCCAAGCAGGAAGAGAGAGGGCATTCCATGGCTACGTAGCCTCCATTGAAGACTTAAAGATGCTGAGACATGACAGCACAAGTGCTGTTAAGGGCATGGTAGAGCTTCTGGTAGGTCTATAGCAGTGGTGGTGGGTGTGAAAGTGAAAGGGATGGGGGAAGTCAGGGGTAGAGGTAAGCGGAATGTTCTTACATATGTTATTGAAATGGCAGCCTTCCTTTAATGGTGCCTCTCGATATAGGAGAAAAGTGAGGAGGAAGAAAACCCAGTGGATACTGAGGAGAAGTTACCAGAGAGGCAAGAGAGTGTATAAGACCACATGTTGGTATAGAAGCCTAGAGGGGCCGGGCCAGAAAAGAGGTCTGATAGGAATTTTGGATGTTACACCAAATTCAGGTATAATTCCACTCTTTTCTGGATTGATATTTTCCATCATTCCCCTGTTTTGATTTCCAGATTGAACCATAAAAGTCTTTTCCTCAAAATAGTATCTCTTGATCAGTTTCAGCAGGATTCAGAAATGAGAAACATTTAAGATTTGGCCTTTTTTTCTTCATTTATTACCACATTGCTCATTCTGTTCTATTTTACTTCTATGCTGCAAAACTGTCAGCACCCTCTTTTTTCCTATCACTTCATTGACATGCCTCTGTGGGCTATTTTACCAGTAAGTATTTTGTTATAGCTTGCCTTCTGTATATGGCTGTGCCTTATTGCCTGTCTTTTTTGTCTTTTCCCATGTTTTTTTTTTTTACTTTAATATAAGTTGAGAATTCTCTTTTGAGTTTTAAACTTGTGCTCCATGTTCTTTCATCACTCTGTGAACCTAGCCTTTCCGTTGTCCTGGCTCTAGTTCGTTCTGATTGCTCCTTTTGTTATTTCTTGAAGAGTCTTTTTCCTTCCTCCTTTTCCCTCTGCTGAAGCACAAGCCCGGCTTCTCCGCAGCTCCTGCCATCCTGCTTCTCTCCGCCTCATCGACTCCCATCTCACTTCAAACCTCAGTAGTAAACATATGTTCTCCCTTGTCTATACCTCTTAATTTCTCTTTTCCACTGCTATCGCTTTCTCTGTAATTGTATTATTTAACTTCGTTAAGCATTTTATAATATGGAAGATGTGGTTGAAAATAAAGTTGTATTATAATAAAATCATGTCGTATAAAGCAAGTTGTTTCCCAAGGAGTATGAAAGTCTCAAGATACAGTTAAAACGGCTGTTGTTTTGTATTCCTTGATTGTGCTAGTGTAAATGTTTGGTGTGTTGTAGAGAATTTCTTGCCTCATAATCATTGTTAATAAGTGATTGGATTAAGCAACAAATGACGTTTATCCTATTTCTAATTCTGACTTCTTGTTAAATGGAAAATAATATTTTTATATATTGTGAGAGTCTTTAAAGTAGCTTTTTGAATGAACTAAAAAAGAAAATCTCTCCCAAAAGGTACATTTTATAATCACCCTTTTGGACAAAGTTAGTGTTCTAGACTAATATTTATTTATTTATACCAGGTGGGAAAAATCATTTTGTCTTGGAATCCCATTCTCCTCATAAAATAGAGTTATTTGTATCTTTTCCACTTGGTTCATTGCCCATTGGGATATTCATTGGTTGTCACAAATCGCCTCCATGCCTTGGCAAAAGTCCAGACAGTACATGGACAATTTGGACTTCTGCATTGGTTGTTGCTACCCATATGAGTCCTGAGACAATGACTCCATTCCCTTTTTCAGCTTCATTTCCCAGGGAAAAGTAGAGGGGGCTATCCTTTCTTCTCCATATGTTCCTCTCCACCCCTAAAATACTTTTATGTGTCATCTTAGTAGATTGGAAAGGAATTTAAAATCAATGAAGGACATTAGCAATGGGTTTGCACATTTCTCCTTTTTATTTCTATGCTTTGGTTATCTTTAAAAACAGGTTTTAACTTCTATAACATTTTTAGAATAGCACTACTGGAAAAAGAATATATTTGCTTTTTCAGTGTATCATACTTTGCTTTTCCTTCTTTTGAAAATTTCTTATGTAATTTTTAGCTTTATTTCACAAAAAATTAACTCAATATTATTTTTATCCATAGTTGGAAAAAAAACAAAGCATTCATTTTACATTTCTGTACTGAAGAAATCTGAACATATAACACACATATTTACAGTTTATAACTCAGTTTTACATATGTTGCCTCAGTGTAAAGTTTTATTTAACTTTAACACAGCTTAAGAATAATATTGCACATATGATACTCTTCCTGCTTTTGATATTGTCTTATAATCTACAATGGTAAAAACTACCTGGGAAATAGTTTTAAAGTTTGTGGCTTGGTATATGTCAAATGGAATTTGACTTTCACAATTTGTCTCAATCTTTTCACCAAGAATGTGAAAATTCACATGAATATCTTATTTTGAGGATGTTTCTTTGGTTTTAAAAAGCTGTTTTACTTTCTGATAAACACCATTTTATAAAGAAAATGGGTGGAGCTTAGTTGAAGCAATTTATAGACTGTGGAGTGAGAAGTGATGTCCAAAGATCATGCAGTTAATTCATGTGTCCACATTGGCAGGTGGTTTTCTCTTCTTCCCTTGAAGATTTCCAGGAATAAAACGTACACAGTCTTCCAAATTAGGTGGTCTGTCATTTGAGTTGGATATTTGTTATATGTTGTTCTTTATTTTCTGGATTTTATTTTTGCAGTTTAACTTCATTAATTCTTTTTATTTTCAGAAAGAGAAGGATCAAGTAACTTCTTTGGAAAGTGACTCTTCTTAGTTTACCTGTGCCTATTTTGAAATAAAGTATATATGGTAGAAGAAAGATCTGTATCATTTCAAATTTTTGTTTTAAGGATTTGAGATTTGTGTGGTTGTAAAACTTTTTTTACTGGATGGATTCATACTTGTGATAGGTGAAATGTTTGAATAAAGAAGTGATATAACTAGTTAGTTGTTTTTTTCCCACATTTATAATATGACCTATAGTCTATAGTTCAGCATTTGGTGTTACATGCCCTGAGCTGAATCTGGTTCATTGACTCATGGTGCATCCTAGGAACATGTGCTGTAGAAATACTTTATTTATTTTAATAAATGCTTTGTTACTCTTCTTCAGAAAAAGTTTTGTTTTGATTATTCTATTATTTTTAGTTATTATGATGCAGATTCCTTCATTTGGTGAGTCCAGTGACTGTCCCTTATTGGAGTTCATTTTCTATTATGATCTATAATTTTTTACTGTGATGCATCTTTAATAAAGGTTTAGTCTGTTCTGTGTTTTGAAAGCATCCCTACAGAGAGGTTTTACATTTGCTGCTACCAGGTCCTAAAGTTTTATCAGTTCATGACTACTTTTTCTTTTTTCATTTTTTGACTTGGAAATGGGGTGGAATTCTAAGCCATGAAGATGGTGTGAATTTAGGCTCCCATTCTATGCATGGTACATGCCTAATAGGGTTCTGATTTGTTCTGGTGACTTTCCCCACATTGACTGAGTTGGTGTCATACCTACTCAGGATTCCTGGTTAGTAAGCTAAGTTTTTATAGTCATGGTTTCATGGATAGGATGGTCTTTTCTGAGTTTTGGCTTTATGAAGGTCCTTCCAAATGTAACCTGTGTCTTGAAATAACTTCTCTGCGTGGGTGTTAGAAAGCCCCCTTGCAACCATTATGGCCTGTAACTCATTCCATAAGTCACGTTAGCTTTAGTCCCTCGCCTTTGCTTTTTGACTTTCTTCTTTGTTTCTTATAACTGTGGATTCTCTGTACTTGGTTCAGGCTCTGCTCTTTATTTATTATTTTACTGGTTATATTTTATCCAGCATTTCAGTGTGTTTGAATATGGCTGGGATTGAGAGGCAGAAGGTTGCTGTTTTATAATTTAAAATTATTTTAGACTTTTATAAATTTTTTTTGTTTGCTGATCACCTTTCTATCAGCCTGCCAAATATTATGTGCCTCCTATGTGCTGAGTATTTAGAGAAATAAAGATATTTGGCTAGATTCCCTCCTTCAAGAAACTTCTAATATAGACCCTAGTGGAGCTAAGGTACATATCTAATAAAAATGCAGTGCCAGTAGGTGCCAGAGAGTAAACCTGCTGATGCAGAATAATGTTGTTGGAAAAGAAATGACAGGAAGGGGGACAAAGTAAAATATGAACGGTGGTTAGAGTTTGACCGGGTTTACCAGGTTAGTACAAGGAGAGATTGGTCCAGCTTGAGGGGAGCCTTGAAACACCAAACCAAGGAATTTATATTATATCTCATAGATAAGAGAAAGCCATTGGAGGTTTGTGAGTGGGAGAGAGATGTAACGCAAATAATGTTTTAAATTCCAGTGCTAAAGTTTTGGAAGGCTAGCACTTTGTTCTGCTAAAGAAAGGTTGGTACGTTCCCCTTCTTTTGCTTAGAGAAGTTAAACTTAAAACTTTACAGGTACAAAAATAAGTATGTTTGAGTTCCTTGTTTGTATTGACAAGAGTCACCTACTCAGTGAGGACAGGGGTTAGGCCTATGTCGTAAATGAGTGGAGCTGGCTGGGAAGAAGGGTGGCCACTGAGAGTGGTCAGGCCTCTTGGGGTCCTCTTGACTGTTAAAGGTTACAAACCGATCAATTTTTAAAAAACACTGTCTGGCCCCAGTAAAATACATATGCAAACATAGTTTGAAACAAAAGCTATGGGTTTGCAACCTCAATATAGATAGGGTTCACTATTATATTTTTATTATATTCTGTCACAAAATTTTAAAAATACATTATTTAAAATTGTCTATAAAATTCAGCAAAAGTATAGTCTGTTTGATTTGAAAGTTCTGTGTCTAATAATCGGCTGTTTATCTATAAGAATGTTGTTGGGATATTTGACTTCCTGAGTTAGACATAAAAATATTTTCCAAAACTCTTGTCTTACAGGTAAAATTTCAGGCTACATGGATGAATGCCAACTTTTGCATTTCCCATGTGCATCCCATGACCATTCTATCTGGGGTGAGTGATTTCTAAGAGTACCTGGCAACAAACCAGATGCCAGCTAGCCGTGGACTGCCCTAACAAATAGTGCTAAGAGTTATAAATTAAACACTGTCTGGTGATCTGTGATGTGTAAGGGAGTTAATTTAGTTGGTCTGGATTAACTGTCAGCACCAAAAAACTATATTCCCAATAATGTGAAATCTGTACTTAGCATTTTTGGAAGAGAGTAATAGTTAACAAAAGGAAATCATTTGTGAAAGTGTGAAATTACGGCAATGCCTAAGATTCTTTTGGATTTACAGCAGTATTTTAGTGGTTCACCATATATTTTAAATGATTTTTAAGCTTAAAATTCAAGGAGTTGGTATTTCTTGAGTGGTGGTTTTAATTTTGTGTACAATAGGGCTTTTTGGATCATACATCTTCCATTGCCTTATAATGTCGTTTTTGTTTCCCATATAGCATAAAGTTGTACACGTTGCAATATTTAGCTTTCTTAAAAATACATTAGATAAATTATTTATAGTGGACATTCACATTTACAGTTTAAAACTTGTTTTTCAGAGTTTCATTCTGGGAAATTACAGTGGGATAAAGCCTGTTTGTTACCTTATCCATGCATTTTTCTGCTTATTTAAATTATTTTACTTTAGCAAGCCATTCATTTTTTTAGAACATTCTTCAAAGAGTTCATGCATCTTACTGAGGACACCTGACCTTTTGAAGCTGCATAATTCACATCTAGATGTCACCAGTCTTTCCCATGTTAACAGTTCTGACTATGTTTTATTATATATGCCTTCGGCGCCGAGCCAGGACAGCTACAAGAGGAGAAATGATGAACAACCATAGAACTATAGAATCAAACAGCCGGGCTTCCCCTCTCAATGCAGAGGTGGTCCAATATGCCAAAGAAGTAGTGGATTTCAGTTCCCATTATGGAAGTGAAAATAGTATGTCTTATACCATGTGGAATTTGGCAGGCGTACCAAATGTATTCCCAAGTTCTGGTGACTTTACTCAGACAGCTGTGTTTCGAACTTATGGGACATGGTGGGATCAGTGTCCCAGTGCTTCCTTGCCATTCAAGAGGACGCCACCTAATTTTCAAAGCCAGGACTATGTGGAACTTACTTTTGAACAACAAGTGTATCCTACAGCTGTTCACGTCCTGGAAACCTATCATCCTGGAGCAGTCATTAGAATTCTGGCTTGTTCAGCAAATCCCTATTCCTCAAGTCCACCAGCTGAAGTAAGGTAAGATTCATTTTTTAAAGACCTAAGTTATATGGCTGAAAGGTTTTGGTTGTTTTAATGTTGGAGGCCTTTTTTTTTTATTGGAAGCCTTCTCTTGAATAATTTAAAAAAAATTGATTCTGAAAATTTTCCTTAGTTTCCTGTTGGGGAAAGGAGATCACACATATGGAGATTTACTGCATGCTTTATACCTGTAACACCTCACACTATAATATTCATGGATTGTGATGTTTGCGTGTCACAGAATTTAGCAAAACAAAAAGCACAGTTTGAACAAATAGGGACATGGGCCATTCTGAGAAGTTAGTAGGAAATGTGACTTCTAAAATATTTTCAGGCAGGCATCATGTATTGCTTTTAAATATTTTGAACAACTCAGAATAGGCCTATAGAGTGATACTTTGGAGGAAATTCTTAGGGGATTAGATTTGATGTTGGATGTTTTTGTAACAAGCACATTCATTTAAAAACAAATGTTGCTTTGAGTAATTCATGCATTCTCCTTACAAGCCTGTTTACGTCATTAATTTGCATAGCATCTCCCCTCTCATTTTTGTCATTACACCTCCTGATTTTTAAAAATATGTTCTAAAAAGCACATAATGCAGTCTACCCTGTACCCTGTTCTCCATGTGCCTAGGATGCATCCCTCCTGCAAGGAAATCACTTTTATCAACTTCCTTTTTATCTTTCCAGAGTTTCTTTGTGTGGATACAAGCAAATAAAAATGTATTTTTATTTCCTTTCTATACAAAAGTAAGCATACTAATCACATTGTTCTATATCTTATTTCACTTAGTAGTATATATTAGATTTTTTTCATAAAGAGACCTTCCTTATTCTTTTCTATAGTTGCAAGTAATACATAGTGTATATGAATCCCAGCTTATTAACCAGTCCCCCATTGATGGGCACTTAGTTGTTTCCATTCTTTTGCAATTGTAAATGTTAATGCAGGGAATAACCTCATCATAAGTCACCTCACGTGAGTGCAAGTGTATCTGCTGGGTAAATTTCCCAGAAGGGTTGCTCAGTCAAGGGTAATTCAGTAATTTTATAATTTTTAACGTTTGTAATTTTTTAACATTTTTTACATTTTAGCAATTTAAATTGTAATTACATTTGATTTTAATTTTTAACACTTGTAATTTTGATATATAGTACCAAATACCCCTCAAAAGGGGCTGTACTTATTTACACTCCCACTAGCAGCATATGTGCATGCGTGTTTTACCAAAGCCTCATCCACAGAATGTGTTAATAAATTTCAATATTTTTTCAGTTCAATAGGTGAAAAATGTTATTTCATGTTAACTTTGTTAAAATTCCTTTATTATCTCTAAAGTGGAATATCTTTTTGTATGTTTAAGAGCCATTTGTGTTTCTTTTCCTGAAATATCTGATATTACTTGTTCATTTTTCTATTCCTCATTGATCTTACCAGTTTTTAGATTTTTATGTCACTTGCTTAAATCACCCTTTATTAAATATTTTAGTGTCTACCATGTGCAAGGTATTGTTCTAGGTATTTGAGGTATGTCAGTGAACAGTGAACAAAATAGACAAAAAACCCTGCCCTTGTGAGCCCATTCTAGCCTGGGAGTAGATCCTGGGCACCTGTTGGACGGTAGGACCCCGGCTGCCAGAGGAGGAAGAGTGGGCGCAGGGATCGGCTGCCACCCCTGACACCCTGCTTCCTTGATGTCTCTGTCCCCTCACCTCTAAGGAGACACTTCCACAGCTTACCGGGAAACAAACACAGAGACAACTCAACTTGGAGACTGCTGTCATAACCTTTACTTGTTCAAGGCATTTTCAGAACTACCTTGTTAATTCATTGTGAACAATGTTATTGAATCATTTTTTTAACCCAGAAAATCAGCATTCTTTAATATATAGATTTTTTTTTTCCCCAAGAAGAAAAAAAGTGGTACTTTGGGTAGAATTTTTTCTTATGTGGGAATTTTTTTATTAGGACTCTGTCATTCTTTGTCTCTTTCCTTCAGTTATTTACTTTTTTGTAAAAAGTTGTACAGATTTGGGGATGAAATCTATGAAACATGTAATGTCTTTTCTCCAATCTAAAGCTTAATGGCTTCATAACAGATTTTGAGTACAAATCTAATTCCTTAAAGTTATACTGTATGATTGTGATTAAAGTTAAAACTTTGTTTATAGATATATTTCTAATTTGTTTTACTGATTTTTAGCTTTGTTCTACAGAAAATGCCATTAACTTTTAAGAGAAAAAGAATTTGACCAATATAATATACTGTTACAGGATAAGAAAAGGCCTTTTTAAATTTTACTGGTTATGAAATGAATAGATGTTTCATTATAAAAAAATTGTTGGAAAATACAGGAAAAGGAATATATATATGAGAAGAATACCTATAATTCTTCTGCCCAGATTCAGTAACTGTTAACATTTTGACGAATTTCTTTAGACAATCAGAAACATTTATTGAACACCCTCTCTGTCAGTTCACTTCTGGGCAAAGGTGGCTGTTATTCTTTGAGCATACAGGCCAGCCTGGAAGAGGACCATGAGATCATCGGGAACATGTATTAGCAGAGGGGAGAACCTAATCCATGGGGCTCAGAAAAAACTTCCCTGAGGAAGTGACTTAACTGAGACCTGAGAGTTGAGTGAGGCTCCACTGTGGATAGGCAAGCGGGGGAGAGAACAGCACTTTAGAAGGTGAGATCATGAGGTAAGATCATGGTGTTTGAAGAAGAAAAGTCCAAGAGGATAGAGATCTTAACTAGTGGTTTCTAGACTTTGGGTTTATGTAGATATCTTAGATCCCGTTTCCCAGAAACAGACCTTTAGATAGCTATTGCTGTGCAATGATCTGTGGTGGAAGTGCTCCAGGAGAAACTGGCATGGGAGTGGGGGAAGCAGATAGGGAAGGAGAAGAAGTCAAGCAAGGATGTAATGTCGTGTGAAGTCCCCAGCTGCTGGAAGGCAAAGTTGCTAGGGAGCTGGCTTTTAAACTCCTGCACTAGTCAGTGTTTGCCTGTGGGCTGGAGCAGTGGGAAGGAGTCTGAAAATCTGATAGGCACATGCCACTCTGGATGAAGAGGCTCCAAAGGTCCAAGGTAATTCTGTGAAGAAGGATGCAGGTATAAGCCCTTAGGATGCAGGTATGAAGCAAGCCCATCTGGATGATGGCACACAGAACTGACCAGGGGATCTAAGTGGAGCACGGGTAGGAGGAGTCATCTACAATAAACTAGTAAGCATAATGATGATTATAAAAATTAGAGAACTCTTACAGGGTTGTCAGATTATTTACTTTGCTAAATAAGCATACATTAAAAAGACAAATGAAATACTAACCCATTTGTCATCGCCATTATTTCATAAAAGAAACCTCAGTTTATAGCAAGAAATTAGCATGATCAGAATTTCGACTAAAGAACAGTTGGCAATTTCATAAGAACATATATATGTATGCATGTTTTTATATATACCAATATACATTCCCTTCCACATTGAGTCATGGAAAACTCCATCATGTACTATTGTTTGGAAACCAGTAAGCTACACTGCCTGTTATTTTACTTAACCACACAGTTTTATGCTGACTTTAGGAATTAGCAAATAAGAATGTGTTGGAATAGCTCAGGAACTTGTTTGCAGAAATGGACTTCTTATACTCTCAGAACACTCAAAATTTAAAAGCAGTCTTTTCCTATTTCATCTGATTGCATTTCTTTGTTCAGAAAATGAAGTTGAAAAGTTACAGGTAGTTCTACAGATCTCAAAGTCTTTTGATTTCTTGCCTAGTGCTTTATTAAGAGGAAAAGAAAAAAGGTAGCATAGAGTGTCCTGGTCTAAGGATAAGATCTTAATGGATGCTTGTGTAAGAGTCAGAAATAGGCTAGCTCAGGGTTACTCTCTAGGCTAGACAGGGAAAGGGAGGAGAAGATGACAAATTGAGAAATTGAGATCATAATAAAGAAACTGATTGGAATAAAGTTATTTGGGAATGAAATTTAGTTGTGTGGGTTTTTTTTTTTTTTTGAGTGTTCAAAACACTTCAGCTATATAATATTGAAGTTAAGAAAGCAAGGAGAAAGAAAGAGGCTGACACACAATTTGCTGCCAAAGGGAGTTGCTTAAGCAATGACTTTACAAATTTATCATGGTCTGGTCACCTTGACTTTGTGTGCCACAAAACATGATTTTGTATTTTAAGTAAGAATTGACCAGACTCTTCACGGTTTTTTTTTTAAGCAGAATGCCAGTTTGTTAATTTCCAATTAGAGATGGCCTGGGAAGTAGGGAGTGATAGGTACACTTATCAGAATACTTGTTTCTTTTATTCATATTTGTTTTCCTAAACTATCCCTTCACTTTCAGCTCGTGAAATTGAACAAGGTTGGCATGAGCACTTTTTCACTGGCTACTAGATATGCTTACTAGCCAGGAGAAATTTTGGTTACAGGGAAGCTTTTTGCACTCATGTGCCTGGTTTTAACCTGAACACAAATAGAAAGCTTGGTTTCTCTGGTTTCCATTAATGAAACTTCTGTCTTCCTCTCTTGTCTACCTGCTGCTTCCTGGTTGCCCTGGAGAGTTTCTCAGTGGTATAACAGTAGGTCAATAGTCAGAGAGAGAGAGTGGTTTGTTAATTGTTTTTGAGCACTGGACACATAGTAGTCATTCAGTACAATCAACAGAAAGAACATTAAATGGACTTGTGAAGAGAACACTGTTGGTTACCATCCCAGAATTCAGTGCTCTGGGTGTGGACCGAAGCAAAATCCGAAAGGGATTCCGGGTTGAATTTTGCACATGTAACACTCTAGATTTAAAATACTTGAGTAGTACATTAGAGTTTGTCAGATTTCTCCAGTAGATAAATACAATATGTGAAAATAGTAGTAACCACGTAAGTGTATAGACTACAAAGGCCATGACTTAAAGAAGTTTATTCCTATCCACACTGCCCTGAGGCTAGAGAATTAAGAGTTGGGCTGTCTCCGGAAAAGTGTGTGATGTCTGCATGTGCATGTGCGTATGTCTTTGCTTTCTTGTTTTCACTGACTAGTTTTTAAGATTCTGGCTTTAATTTTCCACAATAAATAGAAATTGGCATTCTTCGTTTTGTTGGATAAAATAGGCACCTTTCTCTTTGTAACTTTGGATTGATACATTCTAGTTCTACTGGGGAATTTTAAACAAAAATTCACTCTAATGCAAATACCACAAAATCAGTTTGTGTTGGTCTCATAGTTAATGTTCATTTAATTCAAGTGGCTGAAGACCTACAAAATAATTTTTCTGTCTTTTTATCATTTTTACTTTTTACTTTTTGGGTTATCAAGAAAATAAAGTAGAAACTAATGATTTATTTGGAAATTTTTTATGTTTAGACATTTTAAAATCTCTCTAAAGACTGTTAAGATCCTGATATTGTTTACTTTAAGTATATTTGTAATTTTTACAACTTATATATGTGTCACTGCATATGTAATGTTCACGTTATATAGAAGTCACAAGCAAAATTGATGCTGAAATAACATTAATCCTTATATGTTTAAATATACTAGAAATGTTAGGAAGTCAGTTTAAAGCATCACCTTAACCTTGTCTGGTTTGCACATTCTGCAAGGTAGAGGGGATTTCAGTAGATGAATGCATTATTAAAATAGAATATTTATGCTCTAATCAATGCCTTTCTTTAACCTTATATTTGTAATTTTATAATTTAATTTACATTATAATGCATTTCACATTATGCATGAAGAACATGTATTGTCTGCATATTTATTTATTATAAAGCAACTGGTGGAAATTATTTCTATATTACATCTTCAGTGTTTCTGTTAAGCCTCACAAAACTCCTCTTTGAAGCTAAACAATGAAATAGTCTGGTTTGGCTCACATGTGCTGTGAACCAGTATAGGCAGTTATTTCACAGGGTCCTGAGTGGTCTTGAACCTGAGACATTCCTCCAACATTGCCTGCTGTCAGTTTGCAGCAGCAATGAAAGGATGAATAAAACCAAAGTTTGAAGTTTCTTGTGCAGTCCACAATTTATTACGATTCTTGGAAATAAACCATTCAAAATCAGGCACACATTTTGCCACCCACGTTGTTTTAGGTGTTTCATACTTCTGTTCCCTTGTACCTACGTGACTTATTCTAGTTTACTATGTAGATTTACAGTAGAGTATTCAAATCAATTCCATTGTTAGGAACCCTTAAGATTTTTGTAGTTAATCTCTAGGGACATTTCTTGGGTCCAAGTTGGCACTCCAAGTTTGTTTTTCTGCCTTGTCACAGGAAGAAGATACTGAGCCTGTTTTTCTTTCTATTTTAAACCTGACACAACCTGCTGCATTTCTTGGAACTCTTCCCCTGCCTCCCAAGATTGGTGATAGTGTGTGACCAATTCTCCCAGTCCTCCTTCTTGTTGCCTCTGAGTACAAATACTCACAGGCTCTTTATACTTGATAGGTTTTATTTCTAATTTTCAGGAAAGAATTAGCAAAAATAACAAATATAATTATAAAGTTCTAGAAACTGTAAAAGTTCCTGTACTGGTTCCCTATTCTGTAGTTCCTGACTGCTTTGGTGATGTGTTTACTAGGCTCCTCACTGAGCTTCTACCTTATGCTTTTATTCCTGAAGGTAGAAATTACCATACTTCCCATCTCCATTCTTCCAAGACTGGGGCTATCTGCCCTTCTTAGCCTTTAAAGACCATTAGAATATCTATATGTTGATGGCTTCTATCGTTTTGGCTCAGATTTCTCCTTTGAGTTTCACACACTTTTGTCTATTTCAGTTTCCTATATGCTTTGCTGTAATTAATCAGTTTTTACTTAGATACGAGTAGGTCATTGGGCCAATAAAATAAACCAGCAATTTAATGGTGGGAAAAAAACTCATATAATTAATGAATATATAAAAACATTTTAAGTGTTATTAGTAATCAACAAATTATAAATCACATCATAAGGAAATATGGCTCACTGTGAAATTAGAGGTTATTTTAAAAAACAGATAATGCTTTCGGTTGTCATTCTTACATACTATAGGCATAAGCTTTTTTGAAAGCAGTTTGTAGTATATATTGAAAGACTTAAAAATATTCTTATTCTTTGATGTTGTCTTTATTAAGAAATTCTACTAGCGAAAGTAAATAATTAGGAATAGAAGAAAAATGTCTATCAAAGTATTTTTATCTGTGTTTCTGATTTTCTCTGCTATATTAGGAAACAATATTAGAGAAATAATTAATTGGCAAATATGAGAGTATTAAGTAGCTGATGATACTATGTTATGAAGAATCTTTAGATAATTTTGGAAAATATTTTTATAAGAAGACTTATATGGAGATGGAATATGAGTTAGGCCTTGAAGAACAGAGAGGCAGATAATGGTAGGTTGGGCATTTCTCTGAGGGAAAACAACGTTAGCAAAGACACAAAGGTGGAAATGAGTTTATTGTATGAAAAGTAATGATTAACCTGACTGGGAAGCAGAAGTTCATTTGGAGGGATAGGAGAGGATGTTACTCACCTGTTATATATTAGACACTTGCCAGGTACTGGGGATACAAGGATGACTAACCAAAAGATGACAAAAATGGAAATTCAGGAGAAGGGCATATATAAGAAACAATTTCCTGAAAAATTTGACAAAACTTAATGACTTGATAAAAGAAAGAGAAAATCAAAGATGACGTGAAAGTTTCGAGTTCGTATGGAGCCAGTAACAGAAACAGAAGAGCTGGAGAAGGAGACCTTTGTAAGGCCAGATGATCAGTTTAGTTTCTGCAGTTGGTTTCAGAGGTGCACACAGGGGAGCTTTATCCTGTGTGCTTTATTATTACTGTTCTTATTAAAACCTAATGCTGTTCTTCAGATACTTCAAACTACATGTTTCAGTTTTTAAACTGCCCAATGTGAAATCCGAAGAAAAAAAGAGAGGAATGGGTCTACTTTGGGACTTGTAAAAATAATTTAAATAATAAGGTCTGTGACATTTAGTTTTAAGTTTTTAATATCCTAGAAACAATACTTGTGTGTGATTCTATTCATCTTATTTGATGGCTTTGTTTTGCACTGTGATGTATTGGGCATGGGGCCATAACCTTAAGGTACCAGTAGATCTCATTCTAAACTATATTATAGGGAAATTTCTTTTTTTGGCAGATGGGAGATTCTTTGGTCAGAGAGACCTACGAAGGTGAATGCTTCCCAGGCTCGCCAGTTTAAACCTTGTATTAAGCAGATAAATTTTCCCACAAATCTTATACGACTGGAAGTAAATAGTTCTCTTCTGGATTATTACACTGAATTAGATGCAGTTGTGCTACATGGTATGAAGGACAAGCCAGTGCTTTCTCTCAAGACTTCACTTATTGACATGAATGATCTAGAAGACGATGACTATGAAGAAAAGGATGGTTGTGGAATGGACAATCTTAACAAAAAGTTTAGCAGTGCTGTCCTCAGGGAAGGGCCAAATAATGGGTATTTTGATAAACTACCATATGAGGTAAGCTAAAAATATTTATTAGCAATATTGGACATAACATTATAGATTTTTAAATGTCTAGATATTAATGTTTATTTTTCTAGATATCAGAGGAATAGGAGCATTGGTAAAGTGTATATAATCTGATTTGTTGTATATTTTGATTTTGGAAAAAGTTGAAATTATGTTAATTAATTTTATTGCTTTTGTTTCGGATTGACTTTAATGTTTCTGGATAAACTATTAAATATATGTTATATCACTAATTAATAGTGACCAAATGCATAAACTGATAAAAAACTATACTCCACTTTAATTTATACTTTACAATGTAAGTATGGATAATACATGCTTAACTTTATATCAGTTATATTAAAGATTATTTGCTATTAAAAATAAGAGTATTCCTAAGATTGTGAGATGAAGGCTTTTTCCATTTAATAGTCTACAGTTTTCTAAGTGTCATTTGTTCTTCTGTACTAACTCTATTCTGTATTCTTCTAACTGTAATTTTTGGTCTAGGTAGGTACAGAGTGCCTTTACCTGGATATACTTTTTTGTGTGTAGTTTGAAGTCTTATTTTCAGTGTGTCTCTGCAGGGACACTTCTGTGGTGCATTTACATCCCTGGATCCCATGGATCAAATCCCAGTAGCATTCCACAACCATGCAACACCAAAACCTCATCCTACCTGTTTCCAAATATCCCCTGGGGGTGGGAATGGGGCCAGGCATTTCTGTCTCTCGCTGAAAACAGTTAATGTGTGGTTAAAAATAGTATCGATTTTCTTTTTAAGAAAAATTTATAAACTCAAATTTAAACAACCTAGATACCCCCTTCCAAATTGGTGGGTATTTCAGATTTCATTGTAATAATATAAGTAGCTTATCTTGCATGGAACATATTAAGACAGCCTCTTGAATGCCTATATAACATTTTACAGTTAAAATGCTATGGTACATCCTGTGAAGTAGCTAAAGTGGCCACATAAAGATGAATTTAAGGGTCCAAGGTAATTCAGTAAGCAAGCCACGGCACCAGGATCCTACTCAGGCCTTCTAAGTCAAGTCTTGTGTTATAGAAGGGAAGCTTAACAGATTGGCCCTTAATGAGAGACAGGAGAAAGATGAAGGGAGAGTTGAATTAGGAGAGAGAGGGAGGTGAGATATTGACAGTGTGTGGCTCCTCAGGGCTCTGAGAAGGTCTGTCGTGGCAGCAGTGGGAGCAGTTCATCTGGAGGACAGTGAATCAGTTCTTTGATTCTTACCCACTTCCCCAAACTGTAAAATAGAAATTTAAATTCAGCAAATATATTTTAAACAGTTTATTGAACTTTTTCCAGACCTGATAAAATGCTTGCCACCTATCATGTGTATGAATGACAGAAGGGAACTTCAGGCAGAGGGAAGAGAATGTACAAAGAGGAGAAGTGAAGCTGTGTGACTTTGTTTGGCAACTGCAGTGTTTCAGCGTGGCCCAAACACAGGACTTGACAGGGGAAGGAAGCTGTAAGAGACAGAATTGGAGGGAGGCTCAGGGCTGCCTCAGTGCACAAGTCCATGCCCATAGATGACAGTGGTTGCGACTCCCCAGCCCTGGCAGCGCACATCCTGCTCCGCTGCATCACAGAGGGTCTCTGGGTTTTCCTAAGAGGTTTGCATTTTATCCCTTTAGCCAGTGGTCTTCAGGATGCTGAAGTATACAGTGGTTTTTGGGGTACTTCAGTTTACAGTAAAATTAGTTGAGGGGAGTTACAGATACTTAAGACTTTGTAAATAATTTACTTTTGCTAAAAACTTAGAGCATGCCCTTGAGTAGGAAAACAAAATAAAGTAAAAGTATCACTTTTCCTGAATCTATGTTTCCGGTGATATCCCAATTAAACTGTAAACAGAGTTTTTTTTAAGTGAAAAGTTCACCTAAAAAAACATGAAAAATACTCAGGAAAATTCTGGACAAGAAGAGTGATAGAGGGGCATTAGTCCTGATTCACATTTGCAACCAAACAATCTAATGCATTCCAGTATATATACTTTAAAAATTTAGAAGGCAATGTATTTATTTTAATTAGAGGGCAATTGATATGGAAGAAATAGTGGGTATATAAATGGGACAGAGTACAGGAACAGGCACCTCCCTTGGTAAAGGGCTAAATTTCTGTAGTTAAAAAAAAGGAATAAGAAGAACCACAAAGAAAACAGTTCCATATTTTTTTTTGTTTTTTTGCCTTTCAGAATGAAAAGTTTAAAGTTTTGATTCCAATGCTGTCTAGGATATAGGTGAAAGGGTGCTTTTGTACACTTTTGTGGATATATAAATTGATGTGAATGTTCTGAAGGGCAATTTTGTGCTTGTATCAAAACTTGCAAATGCACGTAATTTACCCAAAGGATATATTTGCAAAGTTTGCCAAGATGAACATACATACATAATACATACACACGATGATATTGTAATATAATTTGCAACAGAAAAAAAAAGCATGAAATACGTCAGTGAGAAACTAGTTGAATTGTTATGTCACTCTTTGAAATGGAATGTGGAGGGTTTTTATGCAGATATAGAAAGATCTATAGGATATATCATTAAATTAGAAAATCAAAGTGCTGAACAATGTATATAGTACCATTCTTTTAGTGCAAATCCAAGAATAGAATTTCATACATGTTTATCTGGAAGAGATCAGAAAAACGTTTAACAATGCTTATCTCTGGGGAGAGGGATTGTTAGAATTGAGTATAGAGAAGGAGAAATTTCTCATTTTCTATTTTTCTTCAGTATTTAGGTTTTCTAATTTTTTACTTGAATTTTTTTCATTTGTATATTTTACATGTCACCAGCTTTATCTGGATGAGATTTGTTAAAGAAAAAATTATTCCATCATGATAGGTATAGGGAGTATTTGCAGTGAGATTTTGCCATGGTGGGGAGAGAGTAGGCTCAACTCCGAATACAGCACGTGCAAGTGGGAATTTATAGCCAAGTTGCAGATTGAGGGGTTAGTGAATGGAAAATTACTAAGAGGAAATATCAGGAATAAGGGAGATTTTGGCTAAAGACAGGTGATTAGACATCACCTGGCAGGGTGTTAGTAGATGAGGGCTCTTACTTACTAAACTGACTTAGCGGGGTTCTTTGCTCAAACTTGATTTTGAAGGGAAGTGCATAGATAGGCCTGGAAGGTTCAGAAGTCTGATTAAATCTTGGTGAAACAGAGCATCTTTGTCAGCTTTTGGGCTAATTTTTAATATCCTTATATTTTCCTGTTGTTATAACAGACACACACACACATGCACACCCCACCCCAATGTTATTTTTTAAAAGCCTACTTCAAATGTTAAGTAAAAGTAAAATACTCCAAACATTATTATATACAATATATTAGTTAGCTGATGCTCATATTTTATAAATATTCCTTGAACGTATTTTAAAGATCATGTTCTTATTACTTTGTATTTTGCATTATTTTGGCCTAAAACAGTGAAATTCTGATCTGAAATTAAGACCAAGCCTAGATAATAAATTGAAGAAGAGCATTGAAGTTAATTATAAAACAAAAAGTTTAGATAAAAAAATACCCTTCATTAAGTTAAGAAAAGAAAGCCTTCTCTCTCACCTTAAATAAGATTTTTAACTTTTAGCAAATATTTTATCTTTTTTTTTCCTCATGGTTCTTGGTTCAGAATAGGCTATTTAAGTAGTTCTTTGAAGAACTAGTTTAGAAGCCCCAACTGTTAAGAAAAAACCAAAGCTTTGGCTAGTTCAAGGAGACAATTTTAATTAAAGATAACAATGTCTTTGTTTCCACCTTCTTAGTAATTTTTGTATCTATTTGCTGCTCCATCATCACTGCCAGTTGCCTTTAGCAGGCCCCTTATTTTGTTTCTTGGAATTCTGCATTAGCCCCCTGGCTGGTTTCCCTTCCTGCCTCCCTGCCTCCAGTAGCACCCCCTGTAATAATCCTTCTAAAATACAAATCCAACCATGTCGCTCTGCAGTTCAGATCCCTTCAGGACTCCTCATTGCTTTCAGGATAAATCCAGATTCCTCTTTGAGGCTCTTTGTAACCCAGTCCTTACCACCAGACTCTCTTTTTACCTAGTTTTCCCATCAGTTTTTAAAGCTGTGACTTCCTGGCACAAGTACACTTTCACTTTGGAGTTAGACCTGTGTATTAGGCCTTTAGTAGCATTCTGTGCTTCTCTCTATCAAAACTAGTAAAACATATCATTGGACCAATCCCCATTGGACCATAAGCACTCTGAGAATGGGAACTCTTTTCTGTTACCAATGTCTGTCGTGTAGTACATGTTCAGTAAATGCTGAGTGTATGAAAAATTATGTAATTCAACAGATTACCAAAACATATCTTTGTATCCTAAGAAAATGAGTAGTCCACATAAGCTGAGTATATTTCAAACAATTTTGAAATGCAGTATGGTCTTATGAATGTATTGCTTCTTCACATTGTAGTAATTCTGTTGAATGTTGATTTATTTACTCTGTGAAAATATTATAAAATATATTACACTTTTATTCCTTATTAGACTACATTATATGCTTAATAAAGTGATACATACTGTTTTTCATTTCGATGATCTTGATTTCTCTCTCTTATGTAGCTTATTCAGCTGATTCTGAACCATCTTACTCTACCGGATCTGTGTAGATTAGCACAAACTTGCAAACTGCTGAACCAGCATTGTTGTGATCCTCTACAATACATTCACCTCAATCTGCAGCCATACTGGGCAAAACTAAATGACATCTCTCTGGAATTTCTACAGCCTCGATGCACTCTTGTCCAGTGGCTCAATTTATCTTGGACTGGCAATAGGGGCTTCATCTCTGTTGCAGGATTTAGCAGGTCAGTGCAAAGCCTTGGTGAGGTTTTTTCCCACCAGCAGGCTGTACTTAATTATATAACAGTTTTTATAATAAAAGTTAGAAATTATATACCATGTACATTATAGAAATAAAAAGAATTACATTTTATGTATCATTGTGTTCTGAATAATGCTGCTTATAAAAATGAATGGATTTTATCATCCTCTTAATAATAGGAAGGGGAACTGTACTCTTTATTTACCTCATATTTTTTAAATTCCAAGTAACTTTCAACAGAGCTCCTTTTTTTTCTTTCTCATATTTTCAGCACAGATGATTAACACATTTTAAAAACTATTTCCAAATCAAAATCTACCTCTCTAATGTGATTTGTCAGAAATGGAAAACAATTTATTATAGAACATTTTTAATTAAATCTTAATTACATGTGCAATACATCACCCAGATTTAGAAGCTCATTTAAACTAATTATGTTGAAAATGCAATTGCATGCTAAATAGACGACCACACTTGTAGACCTGCCCAGGTGTTTCTGCTCCTTTCCATTTAAGCATTTAGTTTTCTTACTATTAAATGTCACCTGTTAAACATTTGAAAGCTTGCACAAGTACATATTCATTTAGTAATGCCACAGTAACTTTTATTATACAAACAGGTGTTTTTCTCTTAACCTTCGTGATGGTGGTTCTCATTGTATGTTATGTATAATCCCATCATTTTCGTGAAGTTAAATAATGGAGTAGAAACTTTGAGGAAATTACCTGTTATTTTTAATTAAAGAATACTCTTTTATCCTGAAAAATGAACTACAGCTATCCCAACATGCATCCTCAGTGGTTTATGAATTAGAAATTTGTATGTGGAGCCTTGTTTCCTTTTGACTCAGATTATAAAAACAAAGTTTCAGAAATAAATATTTGATATTGTATTTGGATGAAATAATAATATTTGAACTAGTAACAATGTGTTCAAAATGCTAACATTGATAGTTTATGCATCAAAGTGAAAAATAAACACAAGCAGTAATGGCTTTGTGGCACATGTTGAAAGTATGGCTGTACTGAGTTTCTTTCTTTCTGCCAGAAAAAGAGCCAGGGGAAGGAGTTCACTGTAGACATTTGACAGCTGTCCAGTGAAACTCAGTTTAGTCCTTTCTACTTCCCCTTACCCCAACACACACACTTCATTGGCAAATTTTTCTCTCTGCTAATAGGTCCAAGAAGAACTGAAGCTAATGATGACTGAATATTTAGAGCATATGCAATCATAAACCAAGACTAACTGAATATGAGAGCAGATAGAACAAGTGGTGTCAGTAAGCATTATTTTACATTATACAGATTTTTAGATTATTTTAATTACCCTCGTAGCTCTTTCTCATTGTTTTACACTATCAGGAATATATTGTTTGTTTTCACCCTTTATGAACAAGGCATTATAATGGGTATTTTTGTCCATGTAAACAGATATATGAGATATATAATAACAGTTCCTGCATTCAGGCTAGAGAGAAGATAAAGATATTAAGATAAACACATGTCTCTTATGTATTTTTATAAATAACAGGATGGTAACTAATGATTGTAGACGTTAAAGAAAACATTGGTAGTGAGTGGCTGAATCTAGCTTCTTTGGCAAAGTGCTGCTCATGACCGTAATAATAATGAGTAAAATGTAAAGGTAATATTAAATCAGTTTTTTAAAACTTTCTTTACGTAGCTCATTCTGGTTGCATGAGAAGAAATACCAGTTGTGAGTAGAAAACCAAGAAGTGCTATTTTTTTAAACTTGAGACTGGTAATGGATAAAGATCTTCTTTTGCAAAGTTAGAACTCCAATCTACTTTCTCACCAGCAATTTCTCTTCCATTTTCAATTCACCCACATTAGTTGCTATAGGGCTGTTTGAGTAATAACAAAAATGCATACATGAATTTAAGTTCTCCATATTTTACTGTAGTACTTCAGCCAGTAAAACCATAAATCTTGATAGCATTCCTTTAAGTATAGTCACTATTTCCATTAAGCAAAGTCTAAATAACAACAAGAGAGAAGCTTCCCTTGGGCGGGGGCATATTGGAATTTTACCTCCTGATTGCTGTTGGCCCCCAGGACTTGACTGCTGAATTGATCGTCATTACGGCTGGTAGGCAGCATTCCCAGAATAAACAATAAATATTCATGGCTTGATTATTAATGAATAATCTATGAATAAGTATGGTCTATTTATGCTTATTACTGTGAAGAAGACTTATTTATAATACTTTAAAGAAAAACACATTTTTAAACTAGAGACCAATGTGATGAGCTGCTTTTTGAACAAGTCTTTGGGAAAAAGTTTGATGTC